CACACAGTTGTTGTCAGCAAAGGTTAGATAAAAGATTAGAATCTTTCATAATTGACGTATAATATTGCTTAAGTTTATTACTCATAAATTATAAGACTGTGTAAAATATTTTTATCAGTTTTTATTTCGGCTTTTACCGACGGACTACCATGAAATTTCAAACCGTAAATGTTCATCTGCATACGAGAATGCCACAATGCGAGTTACTACCTCGCCGAGACGACTTACTATCTCGGGGCGGCGAGTTTCCCTAAAACTAGTTCAACTCGCTGCATATTAAGACTCAGTCTGGATACCAGACCCAATGATTCCGACTACTCTTCTTAAAGGATCCTGTATCACCCAATCTCCACGTGACCAACACTCCCCCAGATTTCCCAGAATTGTCAAACTATTCCGAACTTATCCTGTCCATATTAAATTCAGTTGAACGTCAAAAGTTTTTCTGTAATGCTCCTCAATACTGTGAAAATTGTTACAAAGATTGAAATTGGTATTCAAATGAAAGGGAGGGTAGAAAGACCATTTGGATGGTATTGTTAATATTTGGGCAAAACCGGCTGCGTCTGTACCAAGAATTTTGTGAACTGTCCGTGGTATGCCGGTCGGAGTACAAATCCACTACATAGTAGAATTGGTGTAAAAAAATTGGAACATGTTTTTGTTAAATTTAATGTGTTTTAAGCGAATGTCATTTTTAAAGGGATTAAAAGGGGGATTTTAGAAGTTTATTAGAGATTTTTCAAAAACCGAACAAAATCTTAAGAAGTCAATTTTTTTAGACTCCGAATAGGGTGAATTTTTAATAGGGAGTGAAAAAATGTTTGTATACGCAACGTAAACTGTAGGACTGAATGAATTTCGAAATTCTTTAAAAACAGGACAAAAACTTTATAATTTGAACATTTTGCCGTTGTGTAGACATTTTTTACAACGTAACGGCTTATGTATTTTATGGGAATCTCATTTTATCCCAATTAAGAAATCATCTTAATTGAGAAATCATCTGATATGAGAAAGCATCCGAATTGAGAACGCAGCCAAAGCCACGTATACAAGTATTCGATCTTTCAGACGGTATTCTGCGAAAGTCTCATAGTGCTTCTTCAAGTATTTTTTTTTTGAAAAAGTGAAGCACATTTTTCAAAAATTGTTTTAACGAAGTTTTCACAAGTTGCTTTTTATTCGTGGTTGCTTATTAATTTAAATTTATGTTAATTTGGATGCCTTCTCATTTAGCTTAAAACAAGTTCAATTTAAAAAATGCTTTCCATTTATCAAAACATGTTCCAATCTTTTCGATCCTAGTTCTTCTTCGTAATTGTGGAGTATTCCGACTGATATAACCTGGAGAGTTCACAAAATTCTTGGTATAGACGCAGCCGGAAATGCCTGAATATCAACGAGACCATCCGAATGGTCTTGATCTTCTCCCCTTTCATTTGGCTACCAATTTTAATCTTTGTCAGAATTTTTACAAGTTTGAAAAAAGTGTTGACGTTAAATTGAGTTTAATATGAACAGGATAAATTCAGAATAGTTTGATAATTCCTGGAAATCTGGGGGAGTGTTGGTCACACGGACAATGGGTGATACAGGACCCTTGATTGGAAGAGAAGTCGAAATCATTGGGTTTGGTATCCAGACTGAGTCTTAATATGCAGCGAGTTGAGCTAGTTTTAGATAGTAGCTTTTGAATCATGCTCCATTCTATCAATTCACTAATTACTTTGACAGTTCCTTGCGTGAAACTCTGAATTCAAACGGGTCTTGGTAGTTTCTTTGTATAAATTGTTGCATTTGGCGAGTGTAGGGGTTTTGTGTTCCATGATTGGCCCTGATGCATGCAACCATTTTCTGCTGATACCATTTTCGGCAATGATGGTGGCGTAAATCAATTTTGTGCCGGGAACTGGTGTGATGTTGGATACAGTGGGAAGGGATGACTTGACCGGGGGGGGGGAGCACTGTCGCCATATGACACTGGGGGCGATGTACATCTGTATTGTGTATTACCTTCCCGCAGAACCTTACATCAAAACGGCGTATTTGTAGCCTTGGTCAGGGCGTTCGTCGTAGGTCAGCGCAGCGAGCACCGGCCGCTCGAAATCAAGGCGAAGAGCGACCTCACGCGGTTTAAGAAATATGCAAATCAGCTGAACCAATTTCTTTTAGGGCTACTAAATACATTTTGGTTGTTGAGAAGTGCAACAAAATCTGCTTACATGTATTTTTTCTCACCAAGAAAAAGGGGAGGGGGGGGTCAATAGCCCATCCCACCTCAAAAGGTGTGTGTGGGGGGTGGGGTATAAAACTCCACCCCCTTCCGGGATTTACTCCCATAGCTGGATCACCAAGTGAGTGCGCTTCATAGCCGCAACATACGTCTTGAAAATCCATCCACACATCCGCAGATACAAATTCCACATGGAGTTAATTTGTAATGGAGTTAATCGTACAAATCAGTATACCACATGAAATTTGGCCCCCCCTCACATGATGAAGGCTCCTTTGCAATCTGTTTCTTCTTCTTAGTTCTATGTCTTATGGATTCGAAGTTCCTAGAAGTAAGCTTATCGTTTGTGCACACTGAGCCTGTGCAGGATCTCCGATTGCTGAAGCTCCCACTAAAGAAAAAAGAGCTACGTCAAAAATATGTTTGTGTTTTTTTTCAACGAAATGGACCTTTCCAGGGTCCAGCCATCAAAAGGTGGTGCAGTAGCATCGATCCAAGGATTTCCTCATAATTCCAGCGAAGATTAAAGTAATGTCTTCAAATTAAGTAGGCGGTACCCGAATCTGTTTCTCAAAATAGCAGACATTCATGTGCAATAACTGTTGTTCGCTGAACAGAAGAGGATTTACGTAGGTAGGCCTATTGGGAAGAAATATGAATGTGTCACGTTCATTTCGTATCGTCCTGTAGAATAACATATTTCATCTGTCACTTTTTGAAATTATTCTTACCATTGCACTCATAAACATTCATTATTTGCATGACGAATTATTAAACCATATAACGAATTAAGAAGTCTAAAGAACGAATTAGTTTCCCACTGAAAATTTCATTTGCGGGAAGATTGGGTTTTCGTTCTTCTTTGCCCATCACGAGGGGCCTTCAATTTGGGCAGATATTGCTACCTTTGGTATTTTGCTATAGAATCCTCCCACCTGGGGTTGTCAAGGTTGTTTTACGATTTGATTAGGCGTCAGTTTGGAATTCACAACAGACGCCCTAACCAGGCGTACTTTACTTTGGAAGGTTGGCTGTCATCACCCATCCCCGTTGCAAAATTGTGTTTCAGAATTACCTGAAAATTGGATCTCGAGAAATTCTGCAGCAGTCTTCCAGAGAGAGGGTAGAAGGAATGACGTCTTTCTGCGAAATAACATCTTCTCTCCCCTAAAATAATTCTACAGGCCTTTCTTATTATTTATGCAAATTTTATGCACCAGAACTGAAAATGAGGCTGTAGGGGACTCCGCGCTGTTGGCGAGCGTGGCGAAGCATTGTTCAGTCCTATGTTGTACTAATCACGAACGAAGATCATTGCCAGAAATTAGCTTTCATCGATTTCCAAATTTTCTGCGGAAAAAAAGTGGATTATTAATCAAACGAGACGAGGAGCCACTATTCAAGGTAGATTTTGACATTGAAATGATTTCTTTGGGCACTTCAGATGTTTTCGTATAAAAATCGTAATCACTGGCCCGACACCGTACACGTTATTGGTGCAGTTCGATTGGTCCAGTCTTTTCCTTCTTCCATGATTGATCGCACCCAGCATAGTGAAATAACATCTGTAATTTTTGAATTAGCATCTGTAGAATTGTGAACTTGGAAAGGAATAGCCCGGTCATTAAAAGTAAACTGCTGAATGCCAAAAAGTCCTCAAACAACCAGACGTTTAGTCGTAGACATAAACGATGCATGCTGAAAATCCCGTTAATAAACTGCTTATCCTTCAGATTAGGAATATTAAAATACTTGAAGTCTTTACCAAGCTGTTGCTCTACATTGCTTTTGGAGCCCTTTTCGACGTAATCCTCCACAAACCCGAACGTTATCTTGGGAACCACGGGAAGATCCCTTCCGTTTACAGCCATCGTGACACGAGTCCCGTTTTCAGTTGCCGTGAATAAAATCTGCATAAATATTAACAAAAAGGCCTATTTAGCAACCTTAGCGCGTGCTGCGTACAACTTGTTTTTCAGGTGTAGGCTACTTGTCATGTTTATTCATTGCATATTATTTTCTGAGGTTGAACAGACCGACCCAACTTCCAAGGAGAAAATTGAACATTATAGAAAAGTAGGAATAAATTAAGTGCGGTCTGTGTTTGCACTTTCAAGTGAACGGAATGGAAATTATTTCGTCAGTTTCCACATCAGAGGAAAGATGAAGCCCATGAGCAGAAGTAACAAACTCAGTCTGCATTGCGGTGACTTGAAGGAGAGACCGTACAACGCAAGTTATACCCAGCAAGAAATGAGACCGAGGGGTACCCCCCAACATGTCCAATCCCAAAACACATTCCAGACTATTGTTACTTAACACACCCCCCCAAGATGTCTGAAAGGAATTCCCCAGGTTCCTGCGAGACAATGACCAACACAAAGCATACCTTGCTGCATATGACGCAAGTAGGCAGCATTGGTATCCAATTCATACAGATATTTCTTTTGTTTACTGACGCTGACCTCTAAAAAGGGTTTTAAAAGTAAAGAAAAAAAAAGAACAGAAAATCAGATGACTTCGGACATTTTTAGAATGAACAATAAACAAATAGTCTCAACAAATCTATATCTGGAAAATTCTTATGATAGCTTCAGTGGTCTTTTTATCGAGTAATGGCCAGTCAAAGGCAGTTCAGAGGCCAGACCAGTAGCCTTGAAAGCTTCTATAAGTTGCCCATCCTACGGAACGCCATTATCATAATATAACTGTCACAGCTGTTGCTCCATGACGTACGACTTCGCATTGTGCAGTACCACCCCTTCTCCATACGTTATTTAGCACTTACAATCGATGCCTTTATATACACCCAAGTAAAAATCAAACATAAGTGCGGTGTTAAAGCAGGAACTGGTTCTGAAAACCCCCCACTGCTATGAAGTTATCCAACACATCCGCATCAAAAGAAAAAAGAAAACGTGACTAATGGCTCCATCAAGAGCAGTCGGTGGGTGTCTCATATTTTTATTTGTTGGATTTATCTGGATACCAATTTGGATCGTTTACAGCTCTGGAAGTGGTGTGGCTATTACAGTACTGGCTGCTGACGTGGTGGTGGTGAGTTAACATACAAATTTGCTTTGATTTGAGCCAAAATCTTCGAATATCTAGAATCAAAAGAAGTAACAGCTTTGGTGCTTAATGAACAATTGCACAGTGTCGACAGTAGTGACAGATACTTCGATCAATGAAAAATGAAATAAGCACATCAAATAACCAATCAAATTTAAAGTTGTCCTTTGAATCTAATGCAATTTGTACTTGTTTAATCAACAAAATATTTCAACTTTTATTAATTCCCAAAGAATTTTGTAGAACTGGAGACGAAATGACTTCAGAAAGAAATGGCTGAATGTGATTCGGCATTGACGCTGGGTCAAAACAAGGTCATAAACAAAGCTACACTGCCTTGTTGGAGTAGGCCTACTTAATTCCTAAAGTATGGTTCTCGTGGCTAAACTTATCCAATAAGCGGTGCAATTAATTTTAAGTTGCCGTATCATCATTTTGTTAAGCAAGTTATTCCTTTGGTTCATTTCAAAATTCAGCACTCATTGGTTTCCAGAACCGCTAATCTTTGCATTCAATTTTGTGTAGATCCCCATTTGGACTTCTTTTTCGCCAGTCGATTGACAAGGGGTTAACTCTCACTTTTTCGTTTTAATTTGCAAGCTTTCAACTGCTCACCAAGGTAATTAAAATGCATGAGAACGCGATGATGCAAATAATTACAATGTAGATACCGACCACAAATTCAGGTTTTTACGCGGTGATATTAAACGTATTTTCTTCTCTCCAAATATATTACTGTTGTCATCAGTTCATGTGCCATAATTTTATGCAGCTTTTCTACCTGCTGTTGCTGTTTATCTGCAAGCTGTTTTTCTTTAATTATCACGTTTATCTGCTTCTCACGATTAAATTGAAACAATACGAAGACCAAACTGAATGTTATGATCTGCGTCAATTAATTTTGTATAATAGTGACTGGCGCTGCATTAAAATCGGCAACCAATTCGGCGGTAAAACTTTCAATTTTCAGTATTAAAAACTGTCATCTTCAATGTTTTCTTTAACCACTGGGAAAGGCAAATTTTGGGATTTGTTCTCGTAGTCGTGGCCCAAGAAAAATAACAAAGGCCAATCCACATGTGGTCTATAGTCTCTGTAGTTGACGCTTGCTTGCAGGAGGACTCTTAAGTCAGGCAATGCCCTCCAAGCGCCGCAACCAGCCCAGCCTCTCTCTCTCTCTCTCTCTCTCTCTCTCTCTCTCTCTCTCTCTCTC